TTTTTTTTTTTTTTTTTTTTGGAAACAGTAAATTAATCTTAAACCTGGAAGAACACTATCATGAATAGTTTGATGACTATTAAATATTAACTATAATATATATGCTCATTTTTATATTTTGCTACTTTTCTTAATTCCTATTAATCCAGCAATCTTTATGAAAATGATGGAAAAGGGTAAAAGAATTAAGCTTTTAATTCTTAGTCATGTCAGATGAACTTTGTAAAACAAAGTTGTATAAAATGAAAATGATGATATTCCAAAGTGTTTTCTTTGAGAAGGTAGGGGTAAAGATGACAGTGAATATCAGATGTGTTTTAAGTCACTCTCATTGCCTGTATCAGTGATGGTGAGCCTATAGCATGTGCGCCACAGTGGGCTTTATATCATTGAAAGCTCTAAAAGGTTCGCCATCACTGACCTGTTACTCATCTTTCTTATTCCTTTTACCCTATTCTCTAGGTCTCATGTGATTTTACTTTAGGGTAGTATAAAACTACATTCAGATGATAAAAGTTGGGATGGTACAAGTTTTTTTTTTTTTTTTTTTTGGTCTGTTTTTACATAATAAAGGCATCTGGTCTTGTGAAAGGAATGTGAGACTTGGCCACAGACAAGCTGAAGTTTGAAATTGCAGCTTTCTCCCTTTTGCTGTATGTCCTTGTGCAAATCACTTAGCCCCTGAGCCTCAGTTTACTATCACTGTGGCGTGAGGATTAGGGAACACATTTAAAGTGCCTGTCACATACTAGGTTCTTAAGCAGTGTTGGCAATGATAAGTATATGACATAGATGGGAAACCTTACTTTTATGAAACTGTAGTCAGTGTCTTACTACTAATCTTGTTTTACTCTCAAACTCATAGTTTGTCCTTTAGTGGGTTTTCATTTAAACATTATCTCTCTCTCCCTCTTGGTTCTGTCCACCACATCCTGAGAAATTTGTGGTTAGTAGCAGAAACCTGATTGTCACACAGAAAGTGGGCCCTCTCCCAAAGGTTCAGTAAGCTGCCTAGGACCATTCCTGGCCTCCAAACCCTCACAGGTGCACCCCTGCCCCAACTAACATTCAAGTTACCTATGTGAAGGAGTAATTTGTTGCGGCCTCTAACTGCTTCTTCTCTTCCTTCCTTTTTGTCATCCTGCAGTGTTCTGTGCCAAGGTCTTTGTGGCTAGGCTGCGCCAACCTGGTAGAGAGCATGTGCGCACTGAGTTGCCTGCAGAGCATGCCCAGTGTCAGATGTCTCCAGGTGCCTCTCTTCTTTCTTGTTGTAAATGTGTTTTTACGTATGCCATGAACATTTGTTGAAACTTGCAGTAGTGTGTTTAATCCAATGTTAAGTCTGCTAAATGTTCTGTGTAACCCTCTGCTTTCCTCCAGCCTGGGTGCCCTACATGGAGGAGTTAGTACCAAGAGGGGCCCTTCAGAGCCAAGTGGGTCTTCAGCTGGGCCCTGTCCTGCTCCCTTTTCTACTCCTTTTTATTCTTTTCCCTTCATCTTGAAGTTGTATTCTCATGTTTAATAGTTGTTCATGTGCCAAAACAAAAACAAAAAACAAACCCTGACAATTATTTGGCTATTATTAACGGTTCTTCATTGAGTTGGGAGGGTTTCATAATTAAAGCGGTTATTTTTCTATTTTGAAACTTATCCTTTTGGTTTTCTTTTTCTTCCCCTTTAGAAAAAAGAGGAGGGAGGGAATCACTAATGTTATAAAGCCTCCAATTGAAGCATATAAAGATCACAGCTTTATGCTGCCAGTAATTGTCAGTTTGGGCTACTTCCCAAAGGCCAGATCTGACACCTGTCCTCAGAGTCCACCCTGTTTTCCAGGCCGAGGCTGGCAGAGAATTCCACAGATGAAAGTAATACTTTTTTTCTTTCAATGGGGGTGGGAGGGTGGGATGGGGTTGCTCAGGATAAAACTATTAGCACAAGTGCAGTGATCTGTCTTGTTGGGTTGGCTTCTAAGAGAACCAAGGCCAAAAATACTGTGGCCCTATTTGTGAAGCTCAATTTAGAGAAAGCATGTGTTTAAGTAAATACCTTGTCAATAGCAGTATTCAGTTTTCATTACTGCATATTTTAAGCAGTTTGATATATCTTTTCTTTGAAAAGCAGTATTAAATTCCTGGTGTCCTGTTGCGACTCTTATGTTAGGAAAAGTGTAAAATGAGTAAATAATTTAGAGGGATATGATTGATGACATGGGTAATTTCACTGTTCTCAAGGTTATCTTTTTAATTGATGCTTATAGTCTTTAAATGGAGCTGGGGGCTAGGAAGGAGAAAAAGTTCCTTCCTTTTGGGTTGGGGATTTTTTTTTTTTAACTTATGGTCAGATATTCTGAATAGCATTGGTGTGTTTATTGATTCAAATTGCTTTCTTTAGAAAACTGTTGAAACCTTAATCATTTAGCTGAAGTGTTAATTCAGGACTAGGCTGGGTTATCTTTGAATTCTATAGAAGTAGTCTTAGAATACAGGAATTGGCTGTTTCAGTGAGGCTCCAGTATAATGTGCGTTTAGCTTTTGGAAAAGCAGCTTGGTTATTTGTAATATAACTTTAACAAAAATGATGGAAAGGCAGACAACTTTGCATGCCTTCTGGGTGCTAATGGGTATTTGCATTGTACTAATCTTGCATCTTTGTGTCTTTTTTTTTAATGGTTACTTGAACGATACAGTTGCTTTTCAGTGAGCTGACCCAATTTTCTCTAGAAGTGGAAATTCAAGTAAGGAAAGAATTGTTAGTAAGGCCTTGAAGTGCAGGTTCTTTTTATTGTATTTAGTTAAAAAATTGACCATTGGAAGGCATCATTCAATATATTTTAGTAGCAGTGTTGTGAATTGTCTGTGAGTAGGTGAGTGGGAGGAAGTGTGGGCTCCTGCCTTGTTGCAAATGGAAAAACAAAGTCTTAGGAAAAAAATGTTCTTTGACTCATCTCACCCAGTGAAAAATTATTTACGAGAAGTTGAAACATTGCCTTTGACTCTTATTTCAGTGAATGAAGCAATTACTTTTAGATGTGTGTAGAGAATTTTTTTAACTTAGGTTTTTATCTTCACTAGTATATAATTGAGAGTGCAGCAGGTAAAATGAATTAAGTACTTAGTTGATTGGAACTAGCAAATTATTACTATATTTTGTTCTGTGTGTGCATGGAAAGTAACCAGATATTAATGAACCCAGATTTTCCTTCTTTCCATTCATTTTATGTCATTATTTTAAATAAAAGCTGGTATATGGATTTTTAATTATCCTTTAAAAAAGATTATTATTATTTTGTGGTGTTGGTGATTGAACCCAGGGCTTCATATCTTAGGCCAAGCACTCTACCGTTGAGCTACATTCTGTTCATATTTTTACTTTTTTTTTTTTACATTTTAAAAATAATACCAGCATGTCCCTCTCTAGTCTCCCAACAACGTTAGAGTTTATTGCACAAGGTTGAGCTTTCAAAGAATCCCTCTTATATGCTGCATCTCAGGTTGACCACAAAGGTGACTCTTCCTGATGCTGCACTCCTTTTCACAGAGTCATTTTAAGCAGGTCTGAAGAAAAAGTTCTTGAAAAGGACACAGCCTGATTGACTGCAGTGGGCTGTGGGGTTCCTTGAAAGGGTCCCCTTAAATGGTTTCACTAGACCTACTGATCATTTCAAGTGGAACTGACTGGCTTGTATGTGTGGTTGATAGTGTACTTTTTGAAAAAGGAGGAGTAAAGATAGCAGTCACCTTTAGGCATAATTCGGCCACTCATTTTTTGCCCTCTGTGAGAAAAGGGACAGCAGAGACTTAAAATTCATTCACTGTTGACTGTGTTTGGTGCTTCACATTTAAAAAAAAAATGTATTTAGTACAGAGTCTCACTACACAGATCAGACTCTTAGTAATCCTCCTGCTTCAGCCACTCAAGCGCTAGGATTATAAGTGCCTGCCACCATGCCGTCTCAGTCACTGTCTCAGTGTGTCCTGGGGGTGGGGCCAGCAGGGCACACTGGGGATTGAACCCTGGTCCCTGTGCTCTGCCTAAGCAAGTGCTTAAGTCCACTGAGCTATCTGCCTGGCCCTTCACATGTATTTTTTATGACAACTTTGTGAAGTAGGATTTACTTGTCCCTATTTTTGTGTGGAAACTGGGATTGAGACGCTATATACAGTTTGACTTAAGTTAGTATTTACAAAACTGGGACAGGCATGATGGTGCATACCTGTAATACCAGCTCTTAGGAAGCTGAGGTAGAAGGATCACCATGAGTTTGAAGCCAGCCTGGGCTGCGTAGTGAGTTCAAGGCTAGTTTGTAAAAAATTACAAGACCCTGAGATGCTAGACTGAGCACTGGGGACACCAGTCCCCCTCTCCCCCCTAGTCATTTGCCTAACCTCTAAACTGGTTTTGTTTCATCTATTATACTGGAATGCTACTTTTCCAGAATATTAGCATATAGTGTGCGTGTGTACATGTGCTCATGCATATGTATGTGACTGTTGATATCTGGCATGTGTTTGTTAAACCATTATTTATTTGGAAATTAGAGAAATCTGCCAAATTATATAAGGAAAATAATTGGCATTTTCTTTGCCAGTAGAGTGCTCTTGAATTTTTTTAGAGGGTATACTAGGGATTGAACCGAGGGGCTTTGCACTTAGCTATACTCCCGGCCTTCTTGATTGATTGATTGATTGATTGATTGACTGACTGACTGACTTACAAGTTACCCAGGGTGACTTGAACCTGCATTCCTTTTGCCTCATCCTCAGAGTGCTGGAATTTAAGGCGTGTACTACCATGCCCAGTTCATTCCTGATTCTTAGAGCTATAAGGTGTTCTTAAGTATATTTCTATACATTTAATTTCTTTCACGTTTCCTGAACAAGTGGTGTGTGCCAGAACTTCTGCCAGGCATATACAAGGGAACAAACCAGACTCACTCCCTGCACTCAAGGTGCCTGTTGTAGTAAGCAGGTCTATGAATAAATAAGTCCAAACTGAATCACAAGTGAAGTCAGTGTGTAAAGTCAAACTGAAGTTAGCCAAACTTGCTTATTTGTGCTTGTATAACAATGTGAAACATTTTAAACTAGGCTCAGTCTTCTACATATTTGAGAACGGTTGAACTGGAATATCAGGATGTCTCTGAACTAAGCCAAGCTGAGTCAGTATTTCATTTACTTAATATGCCTAGATTGGACTTGAGTTGTTACATCAGATAATCAAGAGTTCAGAGCAGGGTTTCTGAGACTTTGGTATCATCAGATTAATAATGATGTTAATGTAGTATCTTTAAGTTTTCTATATATTGAGTTTTTAGCCCTTGGTTACCTCATTTGATCCTTTTTAGAGAAGTTATCTATCTGTGATGCTGTTCTTTTTTTTTTTTTTTTTTTTTTTT